TATAGGGTGAATCTAAATACAAAGTTCTTTTATACAGGGTGAAACTAAATACAAAGTTTGAAACAAAATCAGCGTCAGGCAGTTTAAGCTAGAATTGAATTTTGAATTTTGTAAAAACACAGAGCCAAAATCACCTTCGTAGCATCGTTGCATGATTCGAACCAGTACAAGGATCGTACTTCATACACATTAACTCGTACCATCCCGTTTAGTGAACCCAGCCCGTTGCGTGCAAATAAATATGGCTGCTTGGATACATTTGTAAAAGTCTCCAAATTTAGTTTTACATCCAACAATAATTGAAGATTGATGCTCATGAGGTCAATTCGGCTCCACAAATTTTGTTTTTAGATTTAATTTTAAAAGTTCTTAAAGTGTTTATTCAATATAATATAGTATATTGAAGTTGGAACTTAAAAACTGTGGATTAGAAAGACGACTTTTAGACTCAAGTTCTGATTTTGAATTGTCTGGTAAACAATGAACATGAAAAACAGAATTTTTTTAGTTTTCAGTGCTATTTTTTTGTATCTATTCAAAAAGACGAATTTTAAGTTAAGAGTTACACATCCAACTTACAATGGCAACTTCATATTTTTATTATTAAGTTATCCTTTATTTATAAAAAAACTCTATTATTTTTAATCTCGGTTTTATATTAAGGGTATTAGCGAAAATCATAAATGTAACTCTGCTAATATTTGAAATTACTTTTTATAACAATTCATCAAATGTTAGTCAGCGTGTATATAATCCTCAGTCGTTTCAGTCTATCTCAGTTTATCTACATCTATCTGTTATCGGTCTATTTGCTTTATGTTTTTTCGTCTTTTTTGTCACAAAACTATTTCTTGAATTGTATTGAATGACGATTTCGATATAGTATTTTTTTTTTTAAATCATTGATTTAGCTTAGTTAAACTTTCTCAGAAAGCTGTAATCCGTAAGATTTGTTTGTTTTTAAGATTGTATACGGTTGTACCTAGTAAAAAAAGAAAATCACAGTATGCAAACAGAGTAAACTTGTCATCTTTACTGTTCATCTTGCAGAGACATTATAGACACATCTTTACAGGAATTTACCGTTTTCATAAAATAAACTCTTGCAGACATGATAATATTATGGCTTTTGAACTCAGATATTACAATGCTGATTCTTACCAAAGACGATATGGAATTCGTAACTGAACTCCCATGTTTATTGGGACACCCTGTATTTTAGTCAATATGTTGATTTTAAGGCTACTAGTAACACTATTTACTTAATAAGAATTCAAATAAAGATGATATTTCTGTAGAATGAACTGCTAGTTTCAGAGTCTAGAATGTTCTATATTAGAATCAGCTTCTAGTTTCAGAGTATAGAATGTTCTATTGTAGAATCAGCTGCTAGTTTCAGAGTCTAGAATGTTCTATATTAAAATCAGCTTCTAGTTTCTGAGTCTAGAATGTTCTATTGTAGAATCAGCTGCTAGTTTCTGAGTCTAGAATGTTCTATTGTAGAATCAGCTGCTAGTTTCTGAGTCTAGAATGCTCTATATTAGAATCAGCTTCTAGTTTCTGAGTCTAGAATGTTCTATATTAAAATCAGCTGCTAGTTTCTGAGTCTAGAATGTTCTATATTAGAATCAGCTTCTAGTTTCTAAGTCTAGAATGTTCTATTGTAGAATCAGCTTCTGGTTTCTAAGTCTAGAATGTTCTATAATAGAATCAGCTTCTAGTTTCTAAGTCTAGAATGTTCTATGTTAGAATCAGCTTCTAGTTTCTGAGTCTAAATGTTCTATATTAGAATCAGCTTCTAGTTTCTGAGTCTAGAATGTTCTATTGTAGAATCAGCTGCTAGTTTCAGAGTCTAGAATGTTCTATATTAGAATCAGCTTCTAGTTTCAGAGTATAGAATGTTCTATTGTAGAATCAGCTGCTAGTTTCTGAGTCTAGAATGTTCTATTGTAGAATCAGCTGCTAGTTTCTGAGTCTAGAATGTTCTATTGTAGAATCAGCTTCAAGTTTCTGAGTCTAAATGTTCTATTGTAGAATCAGCTTCTAGTTTCTGAGTCTAGAATGTTCTATTGTAGAATCAGCTTCTAGTTTCTGAGTCTAGAATGATCTATTGTAGAATCAGCTTCTAGTTTCTGAGTCTAGAATGTTCTTTATTAGAATCATCTGCTAGTTTCTGAGTCTAGAATGTTCTATTGTAGAATCATCTGCTAGTTTCTGAGACTAGAATGTTCAATATTAGAATCATCTGCTAGTTTCTGAGTCTAGAATGTTCTATTGTAGAATCAGCTGATGGTTGAGGTTGAAGGCCGGTCAGAATAAACTTCTCTGTCCAGCTTGTAGGTTGAACCAGCAGGTAGCACCAGCATACACAGAACTAGATATTTACAGTGTGAACCAATAGAAAAATGTTATTTTAGTCGAAGTCTTTTTTATTTTATTCATTTGTAATTTGTAATTTACAACTTTTTCAGAAATATACATTCGTTGCAATAATTTCAATCTACCAAACCCTAGCGACATCATATATTAAGTAAGAAATAGAGGCAAGCCGACACTCATTCCACATTTTTTTTGGTTCTCTCTGTATCTTTAAAAAATGCTTAAAAGTAACAATTACTAATTACTTGTGTACAAAGACTACATTAGATTGCATTGGTTCAAATTCTAAATAAAGATCTCTTTAAAAGTTTTTTTATATACTTTTTTTCAGACACAGAACTTAAATACTTCTTTTTTACTTTATTAAGCAAAGTTGAAAATATAGTTCACTAAGCGAACTTCATAACAAACCTTAATGATTGAATCGACCAAATCGTCCATAACAATCTCTGCCTGGACGAGGTAGAGGATAAGGTTGATGAGAACACCGATAGTCTCACACACCCCCACACACACCATCAACTAGATCATAATAAACAGGTTAAAGTGAATGTACACGTAATTTGAAGTGATCCTAAATTTACTAATGAGGATCGTTATGAGATCTTTTTTTTTGATCTGTTTAACAAAAATGTAAGTTATTTTTCACATAGCACAATTGTATTCTCGATAAGTTTGCTTTTATTACATTTTGCGATATTTTTTCTTGTATCAGAAACATTCACCATAACGATTTTTAAAAACGATTTTGCTTATTTAAAAATCGTTTTGGTAAATACCTTAAGTCAGAGTAAAAATGTAGCTTAATAAAATAATAACAAACTTGTCTAGAATGCAATTTTAAACTAGGATCTGAGACTTTTGTGAATCTCTTAAAAGTCTAAAAACTTTAAATGTAAAAAAGCTGTCCTAAAACTAGGCTAGTCAGTACTTAAGGTTACAAAGTTACATGACAGTTTCACAATGGTAACACTTTAAACCCTCAGCAGAGTAATAAAATATCGTCGTTTTTCTTCACCAGAGAAAAATTCTGTCAATTTATTTTCTGGTCTCTGATGCTTGAACAAGGAAGTCTCGTTTATGATAAAGACACTCCAATTTGATGGAACTGAACACTTGTCACGAACTCTTGTCTCTAGTCCTTGCATCTTTGCATTATTATAATGCAACCTTTCGTATCAAAAACTAAAAAGTATTCGATCTGAAAGAAATCATTGTTAAATTCTTTTTTAAATTTTCATACAGAAACATAAAAAATATCTCCATTACTTTTGCTCCTATAAAGGTTTAACCCTATTCCCGCTGGGGGGGGGGGGGTCAATTTGACCCCCCCCCTGTAGTTTTTTTTACATAACTCAAAAAGTATTGGTCTGAGGCTGTTGAAATTTTCTGACTTTTCTTACGTACCCAAAGCCCTCCCTTTAGGCCTAAAACCGGGCTTTAATACTAACTGCCTGAGTCCTCAGGCACACTGCCTGAATGACTGCTTTTGCCTGTAACAAACTAAATCTTTGTTTTGACCCACTTTCACTTGTCAGATTTTGATAAAAATTAGCTTTTTGGAAAGCCTATGACATAAGGAAACGGATTGCACAAGTTTTGCGAAAAAAAAATTGCAAATTTTTTGCAAACAACCTGTCAAAGGAAATTTGCACATTTTTAGTTTTTCTTGATTAAAAATCAGGTTATTTAAAATTTTGCAAAAATTTTTGCATATTTGAAATGGCATGGTCAAGGGCTTTTCAAAAATGTATAATTTGTCATTTTTTGGACAAATTTTTTTTTGCAAACATTTTTACTATAAAACTGGATTTTGCGATAAAAAATTCAATTTTCGCAAATTTTGCAGATTCTAAAAGTAGAGCACAAGAGCTTTCTAATGATGTATCATTTGTCATATTTGGACATAAAACATGGGATTTAGAGGGGGGGTCAAATTGACTCCCCCCCCCAGCGTATCCTGGTTTTCAAGCACCCCAGCGGGGATAGGGTTAAAGTTTCGTTGTATATAATCATAGATAAAGATAGATTGGGCATTAGACAACATTTCATGGAGACTGTACAGTTCTAGGTAATTTTGCGTACATAAGGATTATTTATCTATACTTATATCTCTGTAAATAAAGGATTCCATGAAATTACGTCAACATACCTTTAAACTTAATTTTTATTCTCTCCTCACAATTGTTAAACTAACCTTTAGTTTAAAGACCTGTTCTAGTGAGAGCAGTTTACTTCTCTTCCTTCCAATATAGTAGAGAATAAACAGTAGTACTCCTGTACATAAAGCAGGCAGTACACTTTCAACCAGGGCAGTTGCGATCACACCCTTTATATAACTATTATTATTATTATTATAAAGGATCAGGAAGGATCAGGAAGAATCAAGAAGAATCAGGAAGAGTCAGGAAGTATCAGAAAGTATCAGAAAGGATCAGAAAGGATCAGGAAGGATCAGGAAGGATCAGGAAGAATCAAGAAGAATCAGGAAGAATCAGAAAGGATCAGGAAGGATCAGGAAGGATCAGGAAGGATCAGGAAGGATCAGGAAGGATCAGAAAGGATCAGGAAGGATCAGGAAGGATCAGGAAGAATCAAGAAGAATCAGGAAGAATCAGAAAGGATCAGGAAGAATCAGTAAGAATCTGTTCCTGTGAAAAGAGCTGAGTTTACATCTAGTATAGTTTCCAGAGATAAACAGACCAGGCTCAGATCAAACACACATTCTTAAAAATGTATTGTTTTATCTAAATTATCTTGAAATATATCTTCTCAAAGGGACTGTAACCGTAATTTCAAGTGACTCTACATAAAAAGATGGCAATGTCTGATTCAAAACGGTATCCAATTAAAAGCTATTTATGAGTGTGAATTAATTATCAACCTTGAAATCTGATTATTTTATATTTGCAATTTCTCTACAATAGTGACTTTCGTATTTCTACAGCAGGAAGACATGTAGGAATTTTCAGAATTAAACGATTTTAAACCTAAACAACGACGCTATCTTTCACATTATTGACCAGATAAAGGTTTTAAGGGCACCATTGTGAATCGGGCATTGACATCTTTTAATCAAGGGTTACTTAATTACGCTTATATATATATATATATATATATAGTCCCTTCTAATCAACTGATTTTAAGAATAAGTACATTTTTGAAGATTAATAAATGAATCAGGTGTGAAAAATATCAATTTTACAAATATCATTCCCAAACTGACGTGTTGATGAATTAATACGATAATTGAAATAAATGAATGAAATCTGTTACCTACAGGTCTAATACCATGGAGTAGAAATCTGTTACCTAGAGGTCCAATACCATAGAGTAGAAATCAGTTACCTACAGGTCTAATACCATAGAGTAGAAATCAGTTACCTAGAGGTCCAATACCATAGAATAGAAATCTGTTACCTACAGGTCAAATACCATAGAGTAGAAAACAGTTACCTAGAAGTCTAATACCATAGAGTAGAAATCTGTTACCTAGAGGTCTAATACCATAGAGTAGAAATCTGTTACCTAAAGGTCCAATACCATAGAGTAGAAATCTGTTACCTAGAGGTCCAATACCATGGAGTAGAAATCTGTTACCTAGAGGTCCAATACCATAGAGTAGAAATCAGTTACCTACAGGTCTAATACCATAGAGTATAAATCAGATTCCTAGAGGTCCAATACCATAGAGTAGAAATCTGTTACCGACAGGTCCAATACCATAGAGTAGAAATCTGTTACCTAGAGGTCCAATACCATAGAGTAGAAATCTGTTACCTACAGGTCCAATACCATAGAGTAAAAATCAGTTACCTAGAGCTCTAATACCATAGAGTAGAAATCTGTTACCTAGAGGTATAATACCATAGAGTAGAAATCTGTTACCTAGAGGTCCAATACCATAGAGTAGAAATCTGTTACCTAGAGGTCCAATACCATAGAGTAAAAATCAGTTACCTAGAGCTCTAATACCATAGAGTAGAAATCTGTTACCTAGAGGTCCAATACCATAGAGTAGAAATCTGTTACCTAGAGGTCCAATACCATAGAGGAGAAATCTCATCTTTCCTTCATTGTTCATCACTCTATATAAGAATACAAAATAAACATTTTCATAATATTGAAAATATTAATAATGACATTAATGATAAAGATAACGATATTTATAATGATATTGATAATAAAAATGATAATGATAATGACAATGATACCAAATGGTAATGATAATGATAATGATAACAATAATGCTAATGATAATGATGATAATAATGATAATGATAATGATAATGATAATGATAATGATAATAATAATTATAGTGATAATGATAATGATAATGATAATGATAATGATAATGATAATGATAATGATAATGATAATGATAATGATAATGATAATGATAATGATAATGATAATGATAATGATAATGATAATGATAATGATAATGATAATGATAATGATAATGTTAATGATAGTGATAATAATAATGATAATGATAATGATAATGATAATGATAATGATAATGATAATGATAATGATAATGATAATGATAAAAACAAAAATAAAAATACTTACTTAAACAACTGAGTTTCCATAAAATCATAAAATCTTATAATTATGAGTAAAAGGATACATAGATAGGTTAATCCTAGTCTAACATAGAACACAAACCTAAACATAGATAGGTTAATCCTAGTCTAACATAGAACACAAACCTAAATATAGATAGGTTAATCCTAGTCCAACATAGAACACAAGATACATAGATAGGTTAATCCTAGTCCAACATAGAACACAAGATACAAAGATAGGTTAATCCTAGTCCAACATAGAACACAAACCTAGACATAGATAGGTGAATCCTAGTCCAACATAGAACACAAGATACAAGGATAGGTTAATCCTAGTCCAAAATAGAACACAAGATACATAGATGTTAATCCTAGTCCAACATAGAACACAAGATACATAGATAGGTTAATCCTAGTCCAACATAAAACACAGATGGGTGGTTTTTTGGTAATGTCAATATCATTACCAAATTGACATTACCAAAAATCCGCCCGTCAAAACACAAGATACATAGATAGGTTAATCCTAGTCCAACATAGCTAGGTTTATCATAGCCTAAATAGATAGGTCAGATTTAGTCTGAGAAAGGACATAGAAAATACTGGGGGCGGGGCAAGGGGCGGGGCACCCTTAGAATAACCAGGGTGAGATGCATTTGCTTGGTTTCAAAAAGGAAAATAATATTTCTTTTGTCGTCTATGGTTCTAGGCTCTATGCACAGTTGAGAGAAAACTCAAAGATCGGTTTTGATCATTAATATTTATCAATTAATAAAACTTTCATCGGAAAAAATAAAAGATCTTTGAGTACAAACAAAGTAAATACCTGTGACGCTTTGCGTAAATACTTGGTAGGATTTGCGTAACAATAATATACAAAGTAATTCCTTCAACTGCTGACGCAAGTCTGATTTACGAAACAGAGCTATTTAATACTAATTAAATTTTGTTCGTGGTTTGTTCTTATATACAATACAATTCTTAATTATTTATTCTTTATTATTATCAAATGTTTGGTCGATTTAAAATGTATATAAGAAAAAGTCAAAATACCATTTGTTTAATATTCCAAAGTTCACATTTATCTTAATATAAGGATATGACTCATCAAAGTCAAACTGCACAAATTGTAAAACCAATAAAAAAAATTATGAAAGATTTTAAAAAGTTTTCTTAATTGAAAACAATGAATTAATTGTAGATCAAAAGAACCCGCGGAGTTTCTCGTGACTTCTCGCAAAAAAAGTGAAGGTTTTATTAATATTTTTAGAAGGAGAGGTTGGTTAATTTATCAATGTCAATGGGACTGTTTTAAATTTAGCTCGTGTGACCTAAAGAATAAAGTTTCCTCTGCTGTTGGACCTGGAATATGCAAAGATATAATAGTGATATTATCTTATTAAATATCTCAAACAAATATCAAAAAGTGTGAGGCAGTGTGTATTATAATCAGGAATAGGATATTATGTATACTATCTGTATACAAATCTGGTTTGTCTGTATCCAATAAACGTCAAAACGGCCGAACCGATCAGGTGAGCATTTTGGTAAAACTCAGCTGACCTGAACGCAAAGTACGGTGTTGGGCCGGTTAAAATTTAAAAATTTGCCCATGCAAAATATTGATTTGCCAATGATGTTGACAATGCGTATTTTAGCGTTAAAGCTTGGAGATAATCCAATATAATATTGAACGCTCTGTAGCTGAAGTGCCTTGCGTTGCCCGTGAACTTTTTAGAAACACGTTGGAAGAAAAAATTCCAAATTTTGAATTATAAAAAAAGAAATTCCTTTTTTTACCTGGTGGTTTTCCTGTAGTTTGGTTTCCCTCCTCCATTTATAGATATTTCTGAAATAATATCTAAATATCTTAATATCTAAATATCTAAATATCTAAATATCAAAATATCTAAATATCTAAATATCTAAATATCTAAATATCTAAATATCAAAATATCAAAATATCTAAATATCTAAATATCTAAATATCAAAATATCAAAATATCTAAATATCTAAATATCTAAATATCTAAATATCTAAATATATAAATATCTAAATATCTAAATATCAAATATATAAATATTTAAAATTTTGTAGTTTTAACCAACTTTGTTTCTCCGTTCTTTATCAGACAAAGGTTTTGAGGGTACCGCTGTATATCGGACATGCCACTCTATCAATGGAAGGTGACTTGAAAATATGCTTACTGTCTCTTTAAACATATTCTGAGATTGTCTCTTTCACATTAGGAAAAAAACACAAATATTGTTAAAATCTTGAAAATTAATTTCCTCGTTTCATTCATCTTCTTCTTCAATCCTTTTCATTCAAAACGTTTATTCAAAATTTAATATTTTTCCGTCTATCTTCAGATCTTCCAAATTCTTCAACATTCAGGACTAACAAAATTAGAACGGAGATTGAAAGAAGACATGATAAACAAATTCAATTCAATCTATTTAAGTATATGAGAAAAGGATTAAAAACAAAGTTAAAAAAAAAAAAATCTATTATTAACATTTATGTGTTCCTTCTTTTGTAAACACCCAGTAAACTAATATATGTACATGCGAAAATGTGAAAATCGATTATTAAAGACAATTATTCATTCATTTAAAACATTTATGCCAGTAAAGCCAATACAATAAAAGTAATTAGTCGTGACAATGAAGTGGTCAACCGGGACAACAAAGTGGTCAATTGGAACAATAAAGTGGTCAGCTGGGACAATGAAAAGGTCAACCCGAACAGTAAAATGATCGGCTGCAACAATAAAGTAGTCAAACGGGACAATAAAGTGGTCAGATGCTACAATAAAGTAGCCAGACGGGACAATAAAGTGGTCAGCTGCTACAATAAAGTAGCCAGACGGGACAATAAAGTGGTCAGCTGCTACAATAAAGTAGTCAGACGGGACAATAAAGTGGTCAGCTGCTACAATAAAGTGGTCAGCTGCTACAATAAAGTGGTCAGCTACTACAAAAAAGTAGTAAGATAGGACAATAAAGTGATCAACTGCTACAATAAAGTAGTCAGACGACAATAAAGTGGTCAGCTGCTACAATAAAGTAGTCAGACGGGACAATAAAGTGGTCAGCTGCTACAATAAAGTGGTCAGCTGCTACAATAAAGTGGTCAGCTACTACAAAAAAGTAGTAAGATAGGACAATAAAGTGATCAACTGCTACAATAAAGTAGTCAGACGGGACAATAAAGTGGTCAGCTGCTACAATAAAGTAGCCAGCCGGGACAATAAAATGGTCAGCTGCTACAATAAAGTAGTCAGACGGGACAATAAAGTGGTCAGCTGCTACAATAAAGTAGTCAGACGGGACAATAAAGTGGCCAGCTGCTACAATAAAGTAGTAATACGGGACAATAAAGTGGCCAGCTGCTACAATAAAGTAGTCAGACGGGACAATAACGTGGTCAGCTGCTACAATAAAGTGGTCAGCTGCTACAGTAAAGTGGTCAGCAACTACAATAAAGTAGTAAGATAGGACAATAAAGTGATCAACTGCTACAATAAAGTAGTCAGACGGGACAATAAAGTGAAACTTGAAAATTTGTTCAAAAATAAAAAATCTGAACTGCCTTAATGCGGTATTTTCTGTTTTCTAAGTTTCATTTTGCCTCTGGAATAAAGTTGCTAATATAATAAAGTAACATGAACAAATTAAATCTTCTACTTTGCTCGTCTTTCTGTTTGGGTGTCTGTTTGGTTTGTATCCAATAAACGTCAAAACGGCTGAACCAATCGGGCAAATTTTGTGTGGGACCTCGCGTGACCCCAGGTAAGGTTTATGGATGATCAAATTTTCAAAATTTGCCTCTAACAAAATTCGATTTTTGAAAATTTTGAAAATCCGCGAAATATTTTGTTTTGTTTTTGTTTTACAATGTACACGAAGAGAACATGTTCACAATTGAAATAGAAGACGGACGCAAAGCCTTAAAAGCCTAATATTTGAAAATAATCTAATAAAATAAAATGACTAATTAAATGCAATAAAACATTTTATTTGATATTCTTTTAGATTGATATATTTAAAACAAATTTTATCGATGAACTATTAAATAAAAGATAAGAAAACACGCATAAAAATTATTATATTAACCAATAAAAGACGACCTGCCAAATATTTATATTCGATTAATAACGACATTTTTTTTCAATTTTAAAGTTGGTTAAACTAACTTTTCAAAATTTCTTTCGAATATTAAGTATAAGCTGCACTTTTGAAAGAAAAATAGTTAAAATTGGCTTTTTTCCAGGAGCCAATGATGAGCCTGCACTCTGCAGGATTGGTTTGTTTCTGGACAAAAAATGGAGAAGGCACAACGCGCCTGGAATTTCAAGTTTAATCCAACAATCTGGTGTGAAGTTGTAATTAATGTTTAATGTAGAATCAGTAATCACTGACTGACAATATGAATTGCAATTTGATCCTTTAGCTTCCAACTATCTAGATAATATTCCTGCCCTACTCAATTCAGCAAAAATCGACAAGATTTCAAGTTCCGTGAGAATTCAACAGTTCTAAATCAAAAATACAACATCAATGTTTTTAATGAAAGAAAACCCGTAAAATTTGATTAAATTGCATAACACGTTCGTACGTACTTAAGTATTTAATAAAAAGGATATTGTTAGAATAAATTAAAAAGAAATTTAGAGTTAAGAAGAGTTATCGAAAAACCATAATATCCTAAAGATAACCCTGAAGTTGACCACTGTGCTCCCAATATTCCCCTTTTTTGAACCATTGTGCTGAGTTTGTCCAATTTTATTCTACAAATACGCAAGATTGGTCTCCATTCACCCGGTATAATGAGAGGACAGTATTTGCATAAACTTTAAAATTGAATTTTTATCCGTCCTTGTCATACGCCGGGGGTAGGAGGGGGGGGAATCATCACACGCCGGGGGTTGTACATCAGGGAAGGAAAAGAAGGAGGAAGAAGGAGAAGGAAGGAGAAGGAGGGAGAAGGAAGGAGAAGGAAGGAGAAGGAAGGAGAAGGAAAGAGAAGGAAGGGGAAGGAAGGAGAAGGGAGGAGAAGGAAAGAGAAGAAAGGGAAGGAGAAAAAAGGAGAAAGAAGGGAAAGAAACACAACAGGACATGTAAAATTCAGAAGTAAAAAGAACGAGAGGATCTAAAAAGAAGGCAATAGAAAGATAAATGACAAAAGGGAAATCTGTTTGGATGGAAGAACTGATCAAACAATTGAAAGGTTAGAATACCGTGAACATTCTCCTAATCTAAGTTTTAAAATCCAAATAATACAAATATACAGTTTTGTTCCTGTTCATTTGTTTTTTCAATTTCATCTCCTTTCATTCTTTTATTTGCTTTCCCGGGGTATTACAGGTTCAAGGGGACATTTTTATTTATCTATCTATCCTGTTTTGTCTGTATGTTTGTCTTTCTGTTTGTTTATCTATTTGTCTTTCTGTCTGTCTGTATGTGTGTTTGTCTGTCTGTCTATCTGTCTATTGATCTATTCAGGGTATTCTTTTTTCTGCCTGTGAAAGGTTGTAAGGGGGAATCCTAAAACAGGGAAGGGGGTAATACAAAGGAGGAGGGGGGGGCTGGGGGAGGGTAGATGAACGAAAGGGGAGGGTTTGGTCAAAATGAAAACGCAGGGAAGGGAGAGAAGAGGGTGGGGGGGGGAGAGTCTGCAAACATTTAAAACTTTTAGTTTGAAGAGAGACATTTTTTACGTGGGTTCTAGTAAATCTGTAGATCTCACATTGATTAATGGTTTGAATAAGTTCTTGCTCGTGCTCTACAGTAATATGTCTACAATCGTCAAGGCACAAATTGCTAATATCAAATAAATCTTAATTTGTATGCTACAATGCTGAACCTTAGCATGACTACTAACTATTTAAAGTTTTATTCTCTCTTTACCCGGGAATTATTTTAATTTGTTTATGTTTGTTTAAAGTTTAGTTTTTATAATCTAAATAAATTTCTGTTTTGCCTCTGATTTGACAGAACCTATTTGTATCACCTATCAATTATGGCTGATTGCTTTCCAAGTAAAAACGCGGTGAATTTCTGTGAAAAACTTGAATTCTATGCATAGGAAAACATTCAGAAGCTTTTTAATTTCAGCAAAAAGTTCAAGTTTTTTGTTTTATTTTGATTGAAATGAATTTCAAGGATCGAGGACATATTTCAACCTATATTGGGACAATTTTAATCATACTTTATATACTATTAAAGGGACTGTAAGCAGAACTTAAAATGATCTTCCATTCAAATATTTGCCCAATCAAGCATAAATTAGATATCAATGTTTATAAGTCTGAGATCTGATTGTTTTTAATTGTGGTTCTCCACGAAAGTGACTTGCACATTTCAACTGCAGGAAAACATATGGGAATTATCAGAATTGAAAAACTGTTAAACCTAGAAAAACGACAATATCTTCCACATTATTGATCAGATAAAGGTTTCAAGAGTACCGTTGTGAATTAGGCATCGCCATTTTGCATGGGCGGTCACTTGAAATTACGCTTACAGTCCCTTTAATCGGAATAAAATAAATGTATTTTATTTTTTAACAAGGTCATAATATCAACAAAGCGGTACATTCCTTTTTTTAACTCGTTATGAAATAGAAAAAGTACATAAATGGAATAACATAACATAGCATACCAACAATTAAACGTAAAAAGATTCTATTAATTCCCTTTTATAAATTTAATAGAAATTTATTCCTTTTTCTTAATTGTATTCCATTTTAACAAAGATATTCCTTCTTCATTGATGAATAAGATGGAATTTAAATCATGTTAATAACCATGTTTTCAGAATATGAATTCAGATCACGTAGTGAGGAAAACTTTATGACAAACTTCAAATTTAGTTTTAATATTCA